AGGGAGAAGCCAGGAGAAAGCAGAGACAGGACACCTGACCCAAACTGGCCAAAGGGCTATTCCATACCACAGCACATCATGCCCAGTATAGAAACTGGGGGGAGTTACCCGGAAGGCCCAGATCGCTGCTCGGGTCGGGCTGGGTATTGGTCAGCGGGTGGTGAGCGGTTGTGTCCTCTCCCCTTGTTATTTCCCTTATCATTATTATTGGTAGCAGTAGTGGTTTGTATTATACCTTAGTTACTGGAGTGCTGTTATCTCAACCCGTAGGAGTTACATTCCTCCAATTCTCCTCTCCATCCTTCCAGGGGCAGGGGTAGGAAGAAGTGGGGGAGTGAGCGAGCGGCTGCGTGGTTCCGAGTTACCGGCTGGGCTTAAACCTCGACACTATGATTAAACCAGTCTAGAACACATCTAGCTAGAAAAATATCTGAAGTAGATAATAAACTGCTAATTTTCTACTGGTGCAGTGTATGAACTGTTCAATGATAACCCATAAAAAGGTATGGAATTTTTATTCAAATAGACATGCTAGACGATAAATTCATAGCACAGACTGATACACCAAAAGGATCCACAAGTAAATGTTCTGGCTTTCTCTTCCCTTCTTTCTTCCACTGGTGTTAAACAAGAACACATACTAAATAGTGGAAGCACCACCCAAATTACCTGGTAATTAAAGTATTAAGGCTTTGCAATATCAAGAAATTACAAGCAGTCCAGAATTGTTGCGCTGCAGTTAGACATACAATTATATCCACCTTCAAAAATTAAGGGCAGTAGTTTTTAAAAACAAGTGACCTTCCCATATTTCAACTTGGAAGATTTCCAGATACATTGTAGAACATTTAGATAAAATGTTCTGTCTCATCAGCACTTCTTAAAGAGAAGCTTGTAAGAATGACAGGAGTTCTTTTTCATTGCTCAACCGTCTTGAATTCATTAAGGCTCTTCTATCTGAAGTCTCTGTTTTACAAAGACCCGGCAGTTCTTTAGAAGGTACTTTGCTAACAAAATACTCCAATCAGAGACCAGGTATAAACTCTGGCTCTTAGTCCAATCACTTAAATTTGAGCAACAAAGAGAAAGAAATCATTCTCATACTACCTTGTAGGAGATTCCAGTCCTGTAATGGCTAATCTGGTTTCAGCCATACTTCTGATTCATTTCTAGAAGAGCAAAGAAAAAACGGTTGAAGAAAGAGGTAAGATAACTCTTTCACAAGTAGGGGATGTGTATACAGCTTTCATTGTCTTATAAAAATTTACATTTGATAACAAAAACTGTTAAAACTGCTGCTTCACTTTAACATTATATATTCTACTAGGACATTATTTTTAAAGTTAGAGTTGTTGTCATCCATTTTTGTAATAAAAATGCTGGATCCCACTAGCTAGTTCACATACACAGAATCTGTTTAATGCAATCTGATTTCTTATCAGGTTGCACCATCAAGTTCTGGACTGAAGAACACTGATGCTTCATTCTGATTTAGTCGACTTTCAATACATTTCTCTGATTCTTATCAATAAATCTTTAACTTGCAGGAAAATATTAAATCATCATAGATACACTGATAGGTAAGATTATTACATTGTTTATCGGTGGTAGTTTAAAATATCAATATTTATAATAATGCACTTAATAGTAGTAGAGCCATTGTGTCCCCAACATGCTCAAAAGCAAAGGCTGATCCCCCTCTTGTTACCTGGTAGGGTAGGAGTCTGTGTCAAATCTAAAGCAGATCTCCTGTCGGCATGCATCAGATAACAGAGTGCAAAAATTCATTCTTTTCCTGCCATCAGGGGTCCTTTTGCTGATTCTGCTTACTTCATTTCACCACAGAAACCTGCAAATATGGTGAGACATACCTAACAGGAAAAGGCAAATCTTTCTCCCTTCTGCATAGAAACATACCGAAGACTACAACTTCTCTTAATATCTATAAACTTTACACCAAAATAAAAAAGGATGACTTATGTCAGCAACAAACTAAATGGTTGTTAGTTATTAAAATGACAGGGTTATTGTGATTACAAGTAATTGTCTATTTTGTTCTCACCATGTTTTTCAATTAATAAAGGAATACCAATCTGAAATTACTATAGTTCAGAGACAAAAGATGTCAGTACTTCCAGTCTGAGAGCAATACACCGTCTTCAGAATAATGTACTTCACAAGAGCATACTTCAGCACACCCAAACCTCATCAGATAACAGTCTATCCAAGGTTAGACTACAGGAACTGCAACTGCTACAAATATGATAAAGCATCGTTTTACTTTTTTTTTTTTTTAAGATATCTGCATATTTTTTTCGAGCAATGGCTTATGGCCTCAGAGAAGTGACTTAGAAAGCAAGCCAGATGCTTTTAAGAGTAGGCTGACTGGTTTTCTTTCTCAGATTCTGTTCTTCACTGAGAAAAAAAATGCTTTATAGCTCAGTTTCTAAGAATATAGGTCCTTGATTTCCTTGTTAACAAGCCAAATGCATTATAGGCAATGATGAAAATCTGAGGATCGAAATATATACATATTCTGTGTGGCTGCTGCTGCTCTCCTCTACATGGAGAATAGGTTGTGTCCTTTGGTTACCAGTCCCTCTGTGAAAGCACTGTTGACATCTCAAGGACTTCAACTGCTAAATTCTCCGATCCTGGCAGGTAATGACCACTTCAGGTCTAACATTTCTGATTTACAAACAGAAACAGTTGTTCCATGTAAGTGATGGGGTACAGCCTCCTTGAAGCAGAGCTAATAATCAAAGAGCAAGAATCATAGGTTCTTTAAAGCAGAGGTATGCCAAGGCATCACACCCAAAGGACAAAATCCTGTGTTGCAAAACTGCTGTAAAGCCACATGAAAGCTTGTTCTTAGAAAAAAGGAAATTTAAACTTATGAAATACATACAAAAATAGGAAGAGAATGCAATTTCTCTAACCAAGTGTCCACAAGACAACTAGCCAGCACTTCACTTTCTGTCTGAAAGAAACAGCATGAAAATACAAACATGGTTCCATTTTGACAGCCTGTTTCCAGCGGTTTTAAGGGATAGGGGATTCATTTTGTTCACTGATTGAATGACCTTTATGCTCTATTTCACTTACTCAGCAACTGGGTATCAACAACTCTGTTATTCCATGTTGAGGTTTTAGTTTTTGCAAACACACAACACTGAAACATGAGGTTCTTAGGGACAAGGATCAGTACTTCCTGGGGGAAAAAATGAAAGGTAATTGAAATAAAAATAACAATCAGGCACCAAGCTTTCACATACCTCAGACGAATACCCAGAAGTTCAGACACTTAGAATTACCTGTTGATTCCGAGTGTTCAAACATTAAAGGATAATGCTCTTTGGAAAAAGAACATGCACTACCATAAATGGAATTGGGCAGCTGCAGCAGAACTTCTCCCAGGTCACCTACTTCTTTTACTAAGTAATGGCTACAATTTCAAATTTCTGTAAGAACAACAGTCAATAAGGTACTGGAAGTGAATAGTCTATCCATAAGATAGACAGCTATGGACAAGAAACACTTGCATGACTCAAAATATGCCAGACTACTACACACCTTAATATATGGATCTCTTTCATTATTATCACAAGTACAGATGCTAAGGCTGAATGCAAAAGAGCTTTACCATGCAGACAAGGTAATGTAACTGTGTAGAATTGTTTCAATAAATCAATGGAGGACCTATCTGCCAGGAAATCAGTGATATCTTCTAATTGGGTTTGGGTTTTTTAACCCACATATTTTAGTGGTACTTATGAAGTTACTGAAATTGTTTAGGTCTATCTCTGTTGCTGTATCAAACTCTAGTGTAGTTACTTTGATTAGACAAAGTTTGCCTTTGGAAAGGTTTTCTGGGGTACCCATGCTGGAAAACTACAATGAACTGTTCAGTGTTAAGAACATACTGGAAAAATATTTATCATGAACTGGTGGTCAAATAAACTATTCTTACAAATACATCTTTAAACTATGTCAGTGCCAGTAGAGAAACGTCATTAGAAATAGTCACAGCCCTAACATTATTATATAAGCAAAGTACATAAGGTGTAGCTGACCTAAGAAACTACCTGTGACTCAGCTAGTGATTAATGGATCACAAAGTTTAGACATTAACTTGAGAAAAAAAAAAAAAAAACAAAACAACAAATCATTAAAGTTCATCTTCCCCAAGAAGATACCAAGGGAATGTTAAAAAAAATAATCTAAATGTCATTTAAATAGCAGTGTGACAATTAACTGACCAAAAGTCCTTCTAATTTTTTTTGTTCTGCAGTAGAGAGAAGTCTGGAAGCTACTCATGAGAGTGGAAAATTCAAGTGATCATACTGTTAACACTTGTTTTTTTCCCACTTCATACCAACAGAAGTCATTTAACAAAGTTTACTGATGTTTACTACTAGCTGTAACAGTCCGAGTTCAAAATCCTCATACTCTTTTTTGAAATTATTGCTTCCTTTAATTATACAACAGTTAACTCTCAGCTTTTCAACAGGCTTCTAGATCCTGACATTCACAGAATGATCCTCATGGTGACATAAGCAGGCCCTATCTAGCATGATGAACTGCACAGGCAGGACCAGGCTCCCCAGGGCCATATAGCACTGGGCCACATGCTTCCCTTTTAAGTAGAGAAACTCTAAAACTTTTTAAGTGCCTTGGTGTATGAATGACTCCAGTCTCACCCTCAATAAAACAAACTAGGGCATTCAATTCCTAATACAAGATGTGTTTGAGTTTGAACTCAGGAGTGGAGAAGGGATTGGGATGGGGAAATAGTTCCAGATGTTGCAATGCTCTCGTAACAAGGAGCTGAAATGTGTAAGAATACAGAAAACTTGCACTTAAGCTCTACTTCAGAACAGCAGAAGAAATCATGGAACAAGATAAAAATGTATCTATAGCTTTATTAAATTCTTTTTTAAATACAAAGTATCTGTTGTATTGTATAAGGCAATAACTCCATGTTTCCTTTGTATAAATATGTGCAAAATAGTCCTTTATAGTTTTAAAAAATAAATTAGTGTTCTGTTCTCTTCTTGTTGTCCTTCCTTGTCTTTTTGCTCTTTCCTGCTTGTTTAGATGACTCTTCCTGAAATGAAAAACAACAATTTCAAAATTTAAACAACATTCTTATATACAGTAAGTATTCACTCAGGGTCACCCATGAGAATTAGTTTCAATACAGTGTTCACAGTTCACTGGGATTTATGAAAGTTTTGAGTTGTATAATATTAATCCACTCAGTTTCATTAATTTGTCTGCTTATGCTGTTATTTAGAAATTCAGCTGTCAGCAATGATAAAATATAGATACAGTTATGCCAACAGAAGCATATAATGTAAAATAATCTAAGCTGTTTCCCCTCAAGGAAGAGGTTACCAATACAGGAATACTTCTACACTATACTGCAGAACTTCTACTGTGGATGTGGCCTTAACAAGAGATAAGACTGTACGCCAGTGCATTAGAACTCCTTCCCTAAGTAAAACAAACCTATTGTGGGACAAAAAAGTTGTGCTGGATCAACAATGTAATGTACAGCGTACTCTGACTGCCAGTTCTGAAAAACAACACTTTTCTTTAGTAGGCACTATAGGAATCTGCCACTACATCTGACAGAACCTGGGACATTTCTTAAAACAGAAAAACAAACAAAAAAGAGAAATAATTTTTGGTACTAAACCTTCTCATGAAGGTAAATGCTTAAAAATCTTGTTAGTTTCCTTTTATTTTTTGTACACAATGCTTTCAAATAAGAGAACATTGATAAACTGCCAAGAAGGTAAATCAGTAAGTATGTACAAGCACCTCTAAAATGCAAAAAGTAAATACCTAAAAAGCACAGGGAGGGGAATGGGGAAGAATGCTCAGCTTTCAGCCACAGCAATCTTACATACTTTCATATGTAAAGGAAAACTGACAGTTGCATACTTTTTCGAGTATTCATTAGTAATTATTTTCTAACATCTTAAACTTTCTGTTGTTAGCAATTACATATGATAGACATACCTAATGTGCTGTTCTGAGGACGAAGAAATGTTGGAAAAATCATGAATATTAGACGATTAAATGACCTAAGTCCCTTAAGAAGTAAAATGCCATTTAAAGATATTTGGAACTTTGTCTCCTGAGTTATTTAAGCTCCCTTGGATCATTTTCCCATAATCTTTTCTCTAACAGTTAATGTTACTTTGAATTCTTCTAGTTCAGATATTTTTTTTTTAATGGTGTCTATCATCTATAATTCTGAAAATTTCTTTGGGTCCAACAAAGCTTTTGATTTTCAAAATGCCTACTAGTTAGAGTAATCCCCAAGCTCAGTCTGCCTACACACTAGAACTGGTGGCACAGCAAAGCGTGAGGAGCAGCGGCTTTCCATTTTCTGAACACAAAGAACGACGCACTTCCCTTTCCCATCCTCCCACAATCCTCTAAGTTTGTTTTCTGGATCAAGGTCCTCAAATGCTGCTACCCTTCTATTGCACCTCTCACACTTACAAATCAGGTCGCTAACTTCTTTGGAAGTTCTTTGTGAGTGTCTGCACTGATCCTATCAGAGCACCAAAGCAATCAGGTGATGACACAGGTAATATTACTTTCCTTCTAGCTTCGTCTAACAGTGACAATTTACTCAAGTCCATATATAAATGCCGTCATTCTAAGTTGTAGGAACTTACTGCTGATGGTACATAGTTGTATTCCACAAGTACATTCCTTGCACAATTGTTTATATGTTTAAAACGATCTGGTCCCAAAAGAATACCTCCATACCAGCGAGACACCACAACTAACACATTGTGGGCGTTCAAAATCTGTTTGAAAATAAAAGAAAAAAGGAAGAAAAAAGTTCTGATTTTTTAATTGAACTTACTTTACTGTTGACACCAATTTTAAACGTACAAGTCACCCACTATCTTACTTTTTTAAGAACTTACTGTCAGGTCTGTGTCACACATTATCAGCAGGTAACAAATAATGACAAGGCAGCTGTTGTGTTAAGTTTCCCTCTGAAAGCCCACACCCAAAGATAAATTCAAAGTAAAATGAGTCAATATATCCCTCAGAAAGGGTGCAGAGCTATCTCCTGTGCACTACAGTTGCTCATCCATGTGTCAAAAGCTTCAGGCACTACCTAACAGGAAAATTACTGAGTTACAGTTATTATTCTTTGATATGATGGACTATTTATTTCCAGAGAACCTCTGTCACTAAGCAGACTGTCTATCCACATTTTTGGAGTGTTCGTGGATGAGGTCAATAACAGACAGGGGAGAAGCATTACACATATGGATACCTAAAATGCCATAAGCTAGTACTGTTGCCAAGTGCAGGACTTAGCAACAGCACCTGGATAATACATAAAAACTGCATTTTCCAGGTTTGGTTCCTAGTCCCTTACAACCAAGCAGTTACTTTCTGAACTCGAAAAGGCACATACAAAGTTCACACAACATGAAGTAATTATGTTAGCAATTAGGACTGAAAGGAACTAAATGACCTTTATATAGCTTTTTTAAGACTGAGTAACAAAATCAAGTAGAGAGTTAAACAGGAGTGAAAATTTATTTTACTGTAAGAAACACAGAGGACCTTCAACAGCTTTATTTTTCACATCTAAATGTGATTTGACTAGACTTGAAAATTACCATTCATTCCACCTTGCAGCAATTGCTTCCTCAAGATATCCCCATCAACAGTAAACACTAGTAACACAGGGAATGCCAACTGACTAGGTTTCAGAGAGAAACACACATCTTTGAGCAACCTAGTCTAGTGGAAGATGTCCCTGCCTATGGCAGGGGGCTTGAAACTAGATGATCTTTAATTAGGTCCCTGTTCACAATAAAACAGGATGCCAAACATGGCTGGCAAAATTTTTAACTCTAAGTTTGAAAGAATTAATCTAAAATACAGCTTCTTGTAACCGGAAAGTGCTGTCTTGACTGAAGAGCTAGGTTTATCTGAAACAAGGTAAGATTTCTATTGCAAAAGAACTGTAAGTACAGCAACAATAAATGTATTAAACCCCCTAATTTTCACGCCCGTATCGTATATCATAAGTGCTTGTAACAGAAAAACTACAAGACTTATGAACATATATACATCAGCCATAAACCACTTTAATCTTTTCCACAGGTGAAAACTGCACTTTTCTGATCCCTACAGCAGTACTCCTCTAAAACAAAAACATTCCCAGGAACTAGGACTACAGGTTGGGAGAGAAGATCCCTATGACTTAGACACATTCACATTTGATAGGGGAAACTTGATGTCACTTTCTAAACTGGATTTTTACGGAATGTTAAGCGCCTGGACACCACACAGTAAGCACAGGAATCAAAACGTACTCATCCTTTAAACCATTCAAACTATTACTACCACCTAAGAAACACTACTTGTTTTCTATGGTCCAAGACTTGGAAATGCAACAGGCTGCATTTTTTTCTTTCACTTTTGAGAAAGAAATCATCTACTTGTCTACGAGCACAACAATAAGTAAAATAATCTTATACAAGTTTATTTACACTATAGTGGTTTTTAAAATCTGTTCAGGACTTCCAGAAGTGAAAGATTAATTTCTGTAACCTGCATAAGGTGAAGAAGGCGTCCACCTGCTGCTGTCTCCCCATCATCTTCACAATCCTGTAAGAATGTCTGCTTATCTTCACAGTATATCCTTTAAAAAAAAAAGGTAAGAAAATTAACGTAAAATAGATTAAAAAAACGTCAATCAACTAAAAAACATTTTGGCATGATTAATGATGCATCAGAGATGATGAAGGTGCTAAGACACTGGAACAAGTTGCCCAGAGAAGCTGTGGCTGCCCCATCCCTGGCAGTGTTCAAAGCCAGGTTGGACACAGAGGCTTTGAGCAACCTGCTCTAGTGGAAGGTGTCCCTGCCCATGGCAGGGGGTTGGAACTAGATGATCTTTAAGGTCCCTTCCAACTCTAACCATTCTATAATTCTAAGATCTTTCATACACGTGTATCAATTCTACTTCTTTACTAAGGACACTTACATGAAAACAGGACGAGGCTTAAGATAAACCACAAATACTTATCTGTACAGCAGAAGTTTTGAGAAGCCTTTATTTAGACTTTAGCTACTTCACATTTACAATGGTAATGACTCTCGAGTTAAGTCCCTAATCAGAAAAATCCTTAGGTTTTTAGTCTAATAATTACACCCAGCTGAAAACAACTCTGTCAAAGGTTCAAATTATGGTACACACAAATAAATCGGAAGAACTTGGACAAAAGCATTATAAATAATTAGTTAGGCCTACATTTCAGCAGCAGTGTGAAACTTACTGAAATTCACCTTTAGATTCTCTCATCTCCTTCCTCAGGGGGCACTCCAGGAAATTTGGGGTGAGCAGGACAGCTGCTGAGGTCTAATTTTCCAAAAGTAATGCTCTGAGGTCTGCTGTTTGTTACCAATTAATTTCCTAACTTCCAAACGTAGTTAATACATATGTGAGACAATGACAAAGAGGCTTTCAATGAGAAAGAGGTACTAAATGACAAATATGAAGCAAAGTTGCTGTTGCTTTTTTGAAGTTTATTTAGATAGTATGAGTGAAAGAAGCCAGATAATAATCCTCAACAACAGAAATCCCTTCTATTTAAAACTCATTTAGGTAGATTTTTTGGTAAAGTAAGCTTTCTCTTGCTCTCATTTCATGTTTCATCAGGATTGTGCCAGGATGTGTTTGAATGGATCAGTCTAGAAATGCTTTTTTAGATGACTGGTTCCTCCAGTAATGAAAGGGGCTCCTTTTACTGTCATTTATATTCCTAAGAAAATTTACATCACTATCTGTACTGAGACCAATTCATTTCACATAAGCTGTGCTCACAAAAGTTGCCGGAGCCAGACCACTACCAAACTAATATTTACCTGTTTCTCATTTTCCCTGAAGTTTCCAGTATTTCAGCTGAAATTTCATATGCCAGATGTCTGCATCAGGCTTCATGTTTCAACTCTTATTGCAACTAAAAACGTTAATCTATTTCTAAATATAAGGTTGGAGGAAAAGAATTTACTTCACCCATGTAAAAACACATTTAGTTCAAGATGCTCTAGCATTTCCATATTCACACATACTATGCAAAATATGTTCAAATCCACTTTTAGTGTTTCTTTTTCACTAATGCTCCTTTACTATCTTAACATATTTCCTTCTATTTGTTTAACTTTCTCAAATTCAAAATAAAGCCTAAAATTTATACCATACAAATAAGAAACCCACCCCCATAAAGATTTAATAGCAAGGAATTCTTCGATGGATTCATCTTTCCTCATGTTCTGCACTCCTTTATCAAAGAATGCCAAAAAAAAAAAACCCAAAAAACCAGCCCCCAAAAAACCAAACCACTCTTCATCTCTCACCTGTATGCATATATGTTGTGGGAAGCACTTGCAATTTTCTTATTCTCATATAATTTTTCAAGAACTCTCTTTACCTTTAAAAAACCAGAAATAAGATTCCTTTTAGAATGGGGATTTCATCCACACCATCTAATCTCTACGATTCTATGATTATCACTGCTAAACAAGTAATCTCCTTCTTAATACTAAAAAGCAACACTTCTACACTTCAACATAAAATGTATTAAATGTTCAGTGTTGTAACTCAAGAAATAGGTTCTCAGTACCCTATTGCTAGTTTCAAATAATATTTCTGTGATACTGAAAACATTTGTTCCTTGAATTCATAGAATCATAGAATCACAGAATGGTTTGGGTTGGAAGGGACCTTCGAAGGTCACCTAGTCCAACCCCCCTGCAATAAGCAGGGACATCTTCAACTAGATCAGGTTGCCGAGAACCCCATCCAGCCTGGCCTTGAACATCTCCAGGGATGGCGCACCCATCACCTCCCCGTGCCAGTATTTTACCACCCTCGTTGTAAAGAATTTTCTCCTCACATCCAGCCTGAATCTCCTCTCTTTTAGTTTAAAACCATCACCCCTTATCCCATCATAACAGCCCCAGCTAGAATGTCTCTTCCCATCTTTCTCATAGGCCCTTTTTGCTGAAGACCTATTAGTGTCAAATCGCTTTCCTGAACAAGAGACAGATCTAGAAAACATAAAACATTTTTAATCAGTATGAAGTATCAATTACACCTGCTGACATGTTCTCAACACTAAGCCATAAACCAGAATATAACACAACTGCTTTCACCTATTTAATGAAAACGTGATGTTTAGAAAGCTCTACTACATTTTGAGTTTCTCTTTTTTCCTCAAACATTTTTTTTCCCCAGAGTTTCCATTTCACAGAAAGAATAATTATCTAAAAAAGTTCTATTATGGGTCTGAAAGAATATTTCCCAGAAACCAGATATTCCCACCATGTCCATCCGTCTTCTCTTAAGAAGTACAAATTCAAAACATTTATCAGTATTAGTTCAACTTCTGTTTCTAATTAAACAAGCTAGCAATTGTTCAACCCTTTCCAATTTGGTCTAGCAAAAAGGAAAGCTTTGATTAAGACACTGTTTTAGTGCACAATACGAAATCAGTATCACTCTGAGCAAAACATTAACTGAAATTGAGAAAGCTTGGGAAAACATGCTTGGTGAACAAATTGTCTTGCACTCCAGGGAAAAATGTCTCTGAGGAGCAATCAATATATATATTTAATGCCTGTCTTAGCTATACTGTGATATTTGCAATTCTTATGGCAAAAATTCACAAATTCACAATTACAAAAATCACCTCAGATATAAGATACCTCTATGAAAAAAACCCCAATTATTATTAACAGAGAATGTTGCTTCAGACACCTGTTTTTTCCTTCCCTCCTGTCCCCCCCCCCCAAAAGGGGCATATTGAATAAAGGCAACACGTATTACTTAATACACTTTCATAAATACATTTCAATACATGGATTTAGGGTACAAAGCATATAAAATGATCATCACCTTTGACCTTGTCACCTACCAGGCTCCTAAAAACATACCTTAATGATTCATCATGCATATTAGCAATGAACCTCCAAGACAGGCATCTTACAGCTAAGCAATAGTTTATCCTTTTTCCTATTGTAGCTCCTGAGCCTTTTCTTTTTTTTCTCCTGTTCCCCTCTCTATTATTCCTACTTTAGGAAATTAAGGGATGCAATTCTTTACATGTCAATGAGGCACCTGCTCATAAAAGATGTGAGATGCTTAACAACAGACCAGTTCTCAGTTCACCTTACTAAATCAATGTCAAGTCCAAGAACCATATAAATTTTAAATGTCAGAATAAGCCAAACTGAGACAAGGAAAAGGAATGGTACCAAATTATAGCCTGATACCTGAAATATGCCTGTCACTTTCTGTTGAACTCTAGCTAAGGCATCTAACCTACCACTTAAAACTCTTCTGCAGCAGGTGGTCACTGATGCAATACCACCATCTCAAAAGTTCTCCATGAAGGATGCAAGGAACTAAAGACCAACAAGTCTTATGCCCATACTAGGCAAGCTAACGAGGGGGAAGCAAAGCCCAAAAAAAACACAGACAGCTTAAAATGTTACAGCTTTGGTATGGAGAAATATACCTCGAAGCCCTATCAATTAAGGGTCATTGAACACGTAGTAGATCCAGATTACCTGGAATTTCAAAATGCATTTGACAAGATCCCCTACCAAAAATTCTTAAAATAAAAGCTAGAATTGTATAAAAGGAAACAGAAAAATCCTCTCAAGATTTAACTCTCAGTTAATGACAAGAAAATATGAGTAGCTCAGTACCCTTCCCACTAAATAGGGATCATCAAAGGAGACTGATGTTAATAAATGCAAAGTGATGTACAAAGTGACTTCAAACTAGTTATTAGCATTTGCAAAAGAGGTCTTGGAGTTATAAAAGACACTTCTATGAAAACACCAGCTCACTGTTCAGTAGAGATCAAAAAGGTAAATTGAAAGATATTACTAG